TCCCTTTTTGATCTTCTGGATGCATTTGTGGTTTGGAAATGAGAGGACAAGGCTGCCCTAGAGAAATGCATAGACCTGAACTGGAGCACCCAGATTCAAGTTGCTTCGGACTTTCTACTGCTAGTGATAATAGTTTTTCTCTCATTTGATGCTCTGCTACGGTTCAGCCACATTGTTTGGGTGCTAGGGCCTGTACAAATGTCTTGAGAAAATATGATCCTTACGGTCCTTGGGGAACATCTTTCTGTAATGGCTTCATCTTGCACAGGTTTAAGCCTGTGATAGTCACACTGAGTGTGAGATATATCTATCCTCATCCTCGTTACGCTTCCTTCACAGCACAGAGGGACCTGTGCATGGTCATTATCTGGACTCAGCTATCAAGGTTTGTACATACATCTCCCTGCAGTGTGTACATGTCTCATAAATGACACTGTGTCCTTATGACACCCCTGTGAGAGAAGGGAAAGTAGCACTATGTGTTTTTGAACAGGAGAATGGAGGAAATATTTTCCCTGATGTGTTTCTAGAATCTGGAAACTGACTTAGAAGCATTTGGATTTTCAGAGGTGATAAATGGCACTGTGGGCACTGTCACCTTCTTCTGGATTTGTGCACAGCTAGCACATTTTGGGTCTTGAAAGGGGTGCCTGGAAAATGAGGAATATGAAATTGGTGTTCACTTTTGCAAGTGACAGTCTACACTGACTTTCCCAAGTCTACCACAGTGACTTGAGGGATGGAGGCAAGGGTGGAGGAGGACAGGATGGAGCCTGTCTCTTCTGGCTCATTGTTGAGGGCCCTTGCTACAGGACGATTTTCGAAATTGCTGGAGCATGCTCTACCTAATATGGAGCCAAGGCAGTGTAAATAGCTGACTGAAGTTCTCCAAAATTCAGTCTAATTGAGCCGTGAATGAGAAGGTGGCCAGAGCAGGAAGAAGACAGGATACCATCCTGAATCCACTCTGCACACAAGAATGGGTGTATTTTACTCTTCCATTTCTGCCCTGAAATAAATGAAGAAGAGGGAGCTGATTCAGGCTGTGGTATTGGTATTAGCAAGCAAAGGGTGGCAGCATGGTTTCCTGTCTAATTTGCCTCATCCATGGGTGCTGCAAGATAGTTTTGACAGTCATTAAAAGATGAAAGAAAGGCTGTTCTGGCTTGGCAGCTGTGGGATGACCTCACTGTTCACTTATTTAATTATGTGTATTTCTTGATAAAACAGATTCTCATTAAGGGAACAGACTCAATTAGGCTATGAGGTTCAGTTTCAGCTGTTCTTAAAACTCCAGTTGTGGGTTTGCATGTGACTCTGGTTATGTCTCTTTCTGCAGATGGAGTTCACTGTCTCACGTGTGCCATGATGCTGCTGAACACAGACCTGCATGGCCATGTGAGTATGCACAGCTTTGTTGCTCCTGTTGACACTGTGCTTGGAGGGGGTGGTGGTCTGGCAGCAGAGTCCCCTGGATGGTGGCCTGATCCCAAAGCACCCCTGCAGACAGCAAACAGTGAGAAGGCTGCACTCCCAGGCTATTGTCCTAGGCAGGGCTTTCCAGCATGCCCGGATCAGTCATGTGTAAGCCTGGTATTAGACCTGGTTTTGCCATAATGTGTGAGGATGCTCCTTGTCCTCAGGCCCCTATCTTTTTGGTGTGCTTCCCATTCTTCCGTGGTTACCACAGCTGTCCCTGGCCAGGAGGCTGTGGTTGGGATTGGTTTCCCCTTTCCAGTATGTAAAAACATTTGGGAAGGCAGAAGAAAGAAGGGAGGTGAAGAGGAGCTGGGAAGGTCACAAGGAGAGGGTGGTGGTTGCAGGCATCTAGTTGCAGGGGAGAGATCTGGTGGAACCAGAGTTCTGCTCAGCCAGGGTTATGTCGGGTCTGCCCAGAGCCACGAGAGCAGAGGGGGAACATGAGCATCCTGAGTGGGAGCACTGTGTTCCCTCACTGCACACCTCTCCCATCTGCCTGCCCGGGGGAAGTATTCCAGTTTGAGCCCTCTTAGTCACACCGGTACTGGGTGCCAGCAGCCCTAGGACATGTATTTCAGCACCCATGGTGCAATACGCCTGCTATGCATGGTATTCCCAAGCTGATGGGAGGCTTCCTCTGTCCTGGAGTCAGGAGGGAGAAGGAAAAACACAGGGTGCATGGCATGATAGCATGCAGGAGCGATGGCTTCAGCTGGGTAGCTTTGGGGCCTCTCTCTGGCTGAGACCCTCCGCTGCACTGCGAAGGGCTCTTCCAGGCAGGCCTCAGTTGGGAGATCTCAGGGGTGGTGGGTTGGGCAGCAGGAGATGCAGGCACCCTGGGTCTGTCTCCAAGGGCTGCTCAGTCCCTGTGGGTGCAGCTCTGTGGTGGGTGCAGGTAATGAAGCTGAGGCTCGTCTGCGCTTCCCCAGGGGTTTTGACGCCCACCTCTCGTTAACTGAATGCCTTTGTCTGAAAATTGTAGAAGCAGGAGGGGGAAAGGAGTTGTGAAGATTTTTTTTTTTGTTTGTTTGTTTGTTTTTTCCTCTGAAGGCTGAGCCTTCCCTGACTGAGGAATGTGTCAGTCGTGCGGGAGGGTGAGCGGAGGTAGAGGAAGGTGCCCCAGTGTGCCTCTTAGCATACATGACTTCTCCTAAGCACGCCTGAGACTGCTTGCGCAGGTATCCCACTCCCCAGAGCGGTGAGCAGCCTGGGGCATCTGCTGTACAGGCCTTGTGGTCCAGGGAGGGAGACTAAATGGTTGTGCGTCAGGCTGACAGCGTTTCCCGTCGCTCCCTGCGATGCTTTAGTGGGCCCTGCTGTCTTCACTGGGTACCAGAGTAAATGATCTGGCCCTGACCCATCATTGCTGCTGGTGATTTGCAGCTAAGATGGCTCTGTATCATGGTTTAATGACGGCCAAACCCAGGACACTCTGGCTGTTGTAGTGTGTAACTTTGGAGGCTTATCCTGCTGGCAGTTGTTAGCGTGTTGTTACCTGTATGCAGCTGTAATGTTTGCCGGACTCCTGCATGTATCTCCTCTCTCTCTCTCTCGTTCTCTCTCTCTGTGCTTTCCTGTAATTTTGGTCTTCCTCGTATTGCTTTGCATTTTTCCACATAGTTGGTAAGTTGGGCATTTTTGACTTGGAATGCAGCCCCTTGCAGATATACACTAATTGCCTGTTTTCTAACAAAGGTAATGCTCTGACCCATCTTTAGCATGATTCTGCTAGAGCAGGAAGCAAATGAGTCACAGGGCTTGTCTACATTGAGCTGCATTTGTTGCTGACATACTGATCGTAAGTGCGGACTTTTATTTCACAACAAGCTCAGATGCTTGTAGGGTTGTAGTGCAGCTGCTCTGCCTTCAGTTCACACTTTCCCTTAACTCTTGTAGACAAACTCTTATCCCTTTATTTATCCCTGTCTTGCCACATTTCATTCTCTTTGTGACTAAATAATTTTTGCTAGCTGTGTGTTGGAGATGCATGCTCGCTTCTCTGCAGGGAGGTCATCACCCAGACTGTCGTGCTAGAGACTTTTAAGGTATCTCTAGACTGCCAGGCACGTCTTCTGGAACCTGTGTGGCACTGTGTGGAGATGTTAGCTTTGGTCCTGGAGCAAAACAGCCATTCCTCTGCAATGCTAGTTATCTTGGTGGGCGAAATGAGCCACACTGCTCTTGGTTTTGGTCAGCGTGGGGAAGCTGCAAACTGCTGCATGGAGGAAACAAACAGAAGCAGGCTGAAGTCTGCAGGGAGGAAAGAAAGCATTTGCAAGTCTAGTAGTACAGCTCCAGCCTGCACCCAAAGATTGTAACTATGAGCTGTATTCTGCAAGCTTAGCAACCAGAGAGCCAGGGTTAGAGCTGGACTGTGTTGTGTGGAGCCTTCCTGATGTGGGAAGCAGTGTATCATGTGCCCCTCCAGAAGTATCTCCTCTTTTGTGGAAGGCAGTGTTCCTGCCTGCCTTCTTTCTGCTGGTCCATGCTGACCACGGGCTGTGGGATCTTCCTCTGTGGCTAGATGAGGCTGACAGTCACGGTTTGCTTGTCTTCTGTCTCTCCCTGATCATACTTTATGGAAGGGAAGTAGAGGATGGACAGTGAGGTGGATCAGTAACTGGCTGCATGGCAGAGCTCAGAGGGTTGTGATGGGGGCACAGAGTCTAATTGGAGGCCTGTAGCTAGTGGGGTCCCCAGGGCTCAGTATTTGGCCTGGTCTTGTTCATCTTATTTATCAGTGACCTGGATGAGTCGACAGTGTATCCTCAGCAAGTTCTCCAACGAGACAAAGCGGGGAGGAGTAGCTGATACGCCGGAAGGCTGTGCTGCCATTCAGTAGGACCTGGATAGGCTGGAGAGTTGGGCGGAGAGGAACATGATGAAATTCAACAAGGGCAAGTGCCGAGTGCTGCACCTGGGGAGGTTGAACCCCATGCACCAGTACAGATTGGGGGATGACCTGCTGGAAAGCAGCTCTGCCGAGAGGGACCTGGGAGTCCTGGTGGACAACAAGCTGACCAGTGGGCCCTTGTTGCCAAGAAGGCCAATGGTATCCTGGGGTGCATTAAGAGGAGTGTGGGCAGCATGTCAAGGAAGGTTATCCTCCTACTCTACTCTGCCCTGGTGAGACCCCACCTGGACTACTGTGTCCAGTTCTGGGTCCCCGATTCAAGAAAGATGAGGAACTCATAGAAAGAGTCCAGAGGAGGGCAACAAAGATGATTAGGGGACTGGAGCATCTCTCATACAAGGAGAGGCTGAGGGAGCTGGTCTTGTTTAGCCTGAAGAAGACTGAGAGGGGATCTCCTAAATACTTAGAAATATCTTAAGGGTGGATGTCACAAAGACGTAGCCAGACCCTTCTCAGTGGTGCCCAGCGACAGGACAAGGGGCAATGGGCATAAACTGAAGCATAAGAGGTTTCAGTTGAAAATGACGAAGAACTTCTTTACTTTGAGGGTGACAGAACACTGGACCAGGCTGCCCAGGGGGGTTGTGGAGCCTCCTTCTTTGGAGATACTCAAAACCCTCCTGTGCAACCTGCTCTAGGTGAACCTGCTTTAGCAGGAGGGTTGGTCTAGATGATCTCTGGAGGTCCCTTCCAACCCTTCCCATTCTGTGATGTGCAGTCCAAGCTGTTATGTAACTGTAACCTGTATGACTGACTGCTGCCCTTCTTTGGGCTCCACTCCTGTGTTAATCTGGGCTCTTGCTCCTAACTTAAGTCACTGTCCACACACAAAGCTTTTCCACTGTGTTTCTCCAGTCATGGCATACCCTGACCATGGAGAAGTCTTCTTCACCCCTTCCTCCTGACTGGCAGCAGTGGCATCCCAAAGCTACTGTGGTCATCACAGAGCCCTGGTTTTCCTCTGCCTTTAACAATGTCTGATAGCTCATCCCAGGCTGCTTCCCTTTCCTGAGATCCCTCTGGGCTCCTTTTTTACCAGCTCAGTGTGGTCATTGCTGCCTGCTCACAAGGCTTCCCCCATGCCAAGCGTGGGACTTCTAGCACGCAGGGGACTGAGTACAGACACCTTCTCTGAGGGATGATGAAGACTGGGATCTGAGAGCAGTTTAGAGCAGCCTCAAGCCTCTGGAGCAGTTCAGGTCCTGTGTGAGCACTGCTGTTCCTTTCCTGTTTGAGGCTCAGTTGGGCAACTTTCAGTCTGAGAATTAGGCAGAAAGAAAAGAGGACAATGCTATGGAAATGTCAAGGCAGCCTCAGCCTGTGAATCAGAAAAGATAATGGCTGCTCGTGGGCATCTTATTCCAACTCAGGTAAGTTGCTACTGGAAGGGAGCATTGGAAATCCTAAGAGGAAGGTTTGGAAAGGGCCTCAGTTGACAGTTTCCTTATGCCCCACAGCAGGATCATGTAGAGCTTTTACATCAGAGGCTGGTAGAGCCTCTGGAGACATGGGTGTGTAAGGCATCGTGTGGATACAAAGGAGCTTCATCATCGCTCTCTTCATTACCCTCCAGTGTTTACCTGTTTATCTTTTTGGGTGTGTGGGACTTGGGGTCCAAGTGCACCTTCTAGCTGTATTCACACAAGGATGCTTTTGTCTGAGTAATCTTGGGAATGACTTCTTAGTGCTGCCTACCTTGGCCTTAAATGAGAGCAGGAAGATGCAATTCATCCAATGTTGCTTGTTTACATCATTTTTGGAAAGCAGCACGAATGTGATGCTGTGTTTCTCTGCCGTCCCTTCCAGAACATTGGGAAAAAGATGACCTGCCAGGAGTTCATTGCTAACCTCCAGGGGATGAACGATGGCAAAGACTTCCCAAAAGGGCTATTGAAGGTAAGGAACAAACTGCAGAACATGGGTTTCATTTTTACTGAGAGATGGTTCAAAACAGAACACCTGCTTGTATTTTTTGAATCTTAATTGTCAAACAGGACAAGTGATAGGCACGTTTCTCCTCCCAGAGCATATATAATGTATGCAGTATTTACTCTGTTGTTTTCCCCCTTGCCTTTGCTTGATTGTGATTGAAACTCTGCAGCGTGGAGAGGCAAGACTGAACTCCAGGGGGGCCAGCTCTAGAGCCCTGTGGGTCTTGTAAGCTCATGCAGTTGTGCCGTCCCAGAGTGCTGTCTCCTGATTAAAGTGGACAGAAGCAGCCACTTGGTTCTGACCATTGGATACATATGTTAAGAGCTAACCCTGAGCTCTGCGTATCTGGAAGGCGTGTGTGTGTTTTCATCAAAGGTGCTTTGGGGTTTTCACATTAGAGCAGGAGATGTAATTTCAGATTAGAATGTGTTGTCTGGCACAGGCTGCTTTGCTTCGGGTTTTGTTCATTAAGTTTGTGCCAGGAGTTAAATCTGAAGAACAGGGGAAGAGGCTGAGCAGGATGAATCTTGTTTCATTGTCAATAATAATGAGAATGCTTCATTTCTCTTTTGTCTGATCTCTGGCATGAAACAGCAGTCTGTTTGAATGAAGAGAGGCGCACATACACTAGAGCTCATAATTTATTTTTTTTTTGGTAATGGAAATGAGAGGTTGCTGCATCTGAGAACTGACCCAAAGCCTACTGAAGTAAATCAAAAGAATTACTGTCTCTTCTGTGGGTTTTGTGTCAGGCCTATTGTGAAATGCAGATGTACCTGCATAGTCACGAGTAGCAGACTTTTGTTCTCTAGTATTGGTAGTTTCTTTAGTTTCTCCAGTCTCTTTGGGGAGCTTTTTATTGGGCCCTCCTGCCTCAGTTCTTACTAAGGATTTAAGAATACAAACTCAACCTCCTTGTTTTTAGACTTAATATCTTTATTTTCTAAATCTGGTTACAGAGTATTCGTCTTGTCAGCAGCAACACTTATTTTTTTTTTTTCCCAAGGAATCTCATTTCTCAGTCTGCCATAGAGAGATGTGTTGAGATTAATTTGCAGGCTAATTACAGCCCTTATTGAATAAATAGGTCTCCAGACTGTGTTTAAATAACCTTCTGAGTGTACTGACGAGAGACGTCCACTGGTGCTCACCTGCTGTTTATTTTCCTGCAGACAGAATTATGCAGTCAAGGCTGTATATTGGTGTTTTGCACTGACCTGCTAATGCTGAGGCTGCCTAGCTCTTTGCCAGTTCACCCAAAGCAAGGACTCAGGATTTTTTGTATGTAGCAGGGTAGAAGAAACCCGGTGATGGTGTCCGACTTCGTTTGAGGCTTCTTTGACCTTTTCTACATGCTGCCCTGATGTCTGGGGGACAGAGGTGGCACCCAGCCTCTGTCTCTCATCTGGCTTGTCTGAAGATTTGCTGATGCTCTACCCCTTGTTGTCCTAATTTACTAGTGGAGGGGAGAGGTGTGAGTGGCAGTAGCTGTGCATTTCATTAGCTACATCACTGTGTCCACAGCAGCCGCCATGCCACTAGATAGGTGATGGCAAAGACTGGGCAGAAATAAAATTTGCATTAATCTCAATAAATTAAGTTCACAGAGCCCTCCTACAGCATGGCGCTGAAGGGCCTAGGGCTTGCTGGTGCGTTAGCAGCATGGGTGAGGCTGTGAGCCATCTCCCTGCGCCGTTCCCCGACCGCCTGGGAGAGGAGGGACCGTTTCCACAGGGTGGCAGTGTCCCCCCGTGGGAGTGAGGTCCTCAGCACCCACTGGTGAACCATGCAGACCCGTGGGGATGTTAGTGGGCTTTTTGCCCTCTCCGGTCTTTCTGTGTTCCCCTCGGGACTCTGCTGCACCCTGGTATGAAGCTCTGCTGAGCCCTGGAGCAAACCCGAGTGGTGCTGGAGGGGAAGGAAGGGGGTGTGTGTCTGTGTGGGGAGATCTTGGTAAGTGCTTACACCTTTGCAGATAAGCGTTCACCCAGGGCTTGGTAAGCCCTTTGGGGCATTTACCCAGATCCACTTCACAGTGTCAGGGGTGCAAATTCTGCATGGCTATTCAGGACAGCCAGCAGACAGGCAGAAATTGAAAGCTGCCATTACCCTTAGTGCTGCTGAGCACAGAGTGTGGCCCTGACCCTGGTGTTTTTTTTTTTTTTTTTTTTTTTTTTTTTTTTTTTTTTTTTTTTTTTGTCTAGAAAGGAAAATAGCCCTTCAGGGGGCAGATGTCAACATGCGAGGATGGACACTTCTGTCTTCTGTGTGATCAGCCTCAGACAACTTCTGATGTGAGATCTGATTGCTCCTTTCCACTCCCATGAGGGAGCCATCTCTTTGTTTTATTAAGTTTTTCCCCAACAATAAGGACTCTTTAGTAAACACCATAAGGCCTTCAGGACGTGATTCTCGGTGTGTCACTGATAGTGCTTTGAGAATAGAGATTTTACTCTGGCTAGAGATGGAAATGAGAGATGCTTATATGATCTTGCTCACCTTGTGTCTTTCTATCTGTTCATTAACACTGAAAAGAGTTTTGCTTTTGTACACCTGTCTACACAAAGATTCATCTCTTTTTCTTCTTCCTCTTTCCTTTTGTCAGATCTGGGATTGCTTTTAAAGTTGGGACCCGTAAAGGCAAATACGCCAAACTGTGATTAAAAGCATGGTTCTCCCCATGGGATCTGCTTGCAGTATTTATATGTTCAGTACTTTGCCAGGCAGGCAGATATATGTACGTTCTCTTTTATTCCATCTTAGCTCCAGTTTGGCCGTCTGTCACACATCCCATTAATCTGCCATCAGCTGCTGGTAAAGACTAGACGTGGAGACAGTAGCCTGATTTCCAGTTATGCATTGTCAGTGCATGTTGACCTGAAAGTGGTAGTTTATACTTACTGCAAGGTTCCTGTATGCCTTCAAACTGGGGCAAATTCCTTGTAAATGAGAACCAGCATCCCAAGCTGTGATTCTCTTCTCTGGTATAAATCGGGAGCATCTATCTCTGTGGGTCTGGCTGGTGTAGAAGGTGAGTCAGGTCTGTTAAATCCAGGCAGATTAAGGTTACTGAAATTTTTCAAAGACAAGAAAACTTTTTGAAACTCCCATCCTTTGACTCTGAGCTGTCACACTCCAAGCACACAAATAATATTGTATCAAGCTGTGATCAGGCAAGGTGATCCTGAATTTCAGCTTTTATCTTATACTTTCCTGTAGCAAAGGTCCCTTTGTCCTGGTGAGTTGAAGCCCTGGAAGGAGTGCTAGATACCAAGAGTTGTGACTGACCATGTTCTAGTTAGTGCGGCAGTAATCTGCTGTGGTTGGGCTTGATGCTTGCTCCTAAGGCTCATGGTGCATCACACTGTTACCAGCATTTACAGGTGGGGATGAGGGACAGGTTTACCAGGTCTGAGAGAGAGAAAGGGACCCAGCTTCAGTACTCATCCCCTCAGAACAGATGTTCCTGGCATCCCGGATTAGCTGCTGCAGGTCCTGCTGTGGATGGTGAGGGAAGCTGGAGGAGAAATGCAGCACCACCATGAGTGAGGGCACACTGAACAGTTAAAACAACTAGGTCCAATTCGTGGGTTATTAGCTTAAGAGAATCATGACCAGACCACTGTTTGTTTATTCCTATAGAAAGGGAGGCCATGGCTGGGGTCTCCCTACTTGCAAGGGGAACGAAATCAGGCTGGGGCAATGTCAGAAACCTCATGACTACAGCATAGGAGCAGTTTATCTGCAAGCTGGTTTCTTCCCCCTGTGCTCCCACCAGCTTTAATCTGGTGCAGTGAAACCATCTTCACTGACGATACTCTGCGTTTGCATTATGTGACCCCAGCACCTTCAAAGCTGGGCTTCATGACATTGTCTGGAATGAGAAGAGGAGGAGATTGGCTTGGAAAGAGCCTAATTTTGTCCATGCATGCTTGCTTCATCTCCTGTAGGCAGTGCGGTCCCCACGAATGAAGTGCTGGTATAGTGCTAGCCACTGTGTCATCTTCTTGTCACCTTGTGGCAAGGTGTGTGAGACTCTGCTCAAGTAAGGTGGCAGTGACGAGGCCTGTCTTATGCAAGGAGATAAAATGTCTGCAGCATCTTGGAAAGGGTAGTCTGTCGTTAGGCAGTGTGCTAAGTACCACCTGCCCATATTGTCCTGCATTAAGTAAATGTCCTCTGCATCTGCAGTGTCCTAGATACCTCATTCATGGAGTCAAGGACATCACCCAACCTCTGACGTGGGCTGACTCTGGTGGTTGTGTTGCCCCACAACATGAACCCTGGATGTAAGGGGGTTGTACCTGTCTGTGTGTCTTCTGGTAGGAGGTGGTAGCTTTTTGCTGACCCATCATGCTGTCAGGGAGCCTCCCCATCATGCTGTCAGGGAGCCTCCCCATCATGCTGAGGGGTCTGGGATGCTCTACAGGGACTTGGCTAAAGCCACCCTGGCAGGGGCTGTGGATGGAGATAAGACTCCAGTCCTGTGTAAAAGATCTGCTTTTTCTCAAAGGCTGTTTTTTGACTGGGCTTTATCTCCTGGAGAAGCACTGTAATGAAGTGACCAAATTAAGTGGGAGTTGCTGGTGCTGAACTCTTCTGAAGAACTAGTCCCCCTTAATTTCCTAAATGATCTGAATTCTTGATCAGGATTGTGTGGATATGCAATTTCCTATAGCAGCTGCAAGGTAGGGTTTATCTCATTTTGCTGTCAGTTTCCCGCACTTTAATTAAGGATGGTTTTTTTTTTTTGCCACTGTCTTTCTGCCTCCTCTTTCTTTTTTTTTTTTTTTTTTTTTTTATTTTTTCCCTTTAAAGGCTCTCCAAAGCAAAGGCTCAATTTAAAGAGAATTACTGGCATCTTGCTTCATCCATTCCAATCACTTCAGGTATTTAGCAGAGAGAGGGGAGTGAGCATCAGGTAGCTAACTTCCCTCCGCCCCATTTACGCAGAAGAAATCACA